CCAGGCTTGTTTGCTAGCTTTGGGGAAAGAAAAATCCCAAGTGCGTCAGGCCAGAACTCTCACCTCCCCCTGCCTTTATCCCAGCGATTCAACCAGGGTAGTTTTTTTAACTTTTCCCTGGTCTTGGTGGTTACTATTAACTTACCGACACTCAATCCAATCCCCTGAATACCCTCGGATATTTAACTAGATATGTCGCGGAGGAGATTGCAAACTTCATCTGTTGACTCCAAGGGATAGAGTGAAATTCAAGAGGAAGTTGGTCTGAAGGACAACTCCCTTCCTTTTTTTTTCTCCGACTTATTCTTTGTTTATTAAGAAAGTAACAGCTTTATTTTTTCAAAGATTATTTATTTATTTATTTGAGGGAGGGGGGTGAGGAGCAGAGGGAGAGGGGCAAGCTGACTCCTCACCCAGCACCCAGCCTGATAAGGGGCTGGATACCAGGATCCTGAGATCATGACCTGAGCCGAAACCAAGAGTGGGACACTCAGGCGCCCCAGGTTTCTTTCTTTCTTTTTAAAAAAGATTTATTTATTCATTTCAGAAAGAGAGAGAGAGAGTCCTCGAGCAGGGGTGTGGGGGGGGCAGAGGGAGAGGGAGAAGCAGACTCCCTGCTGAGTGGGGAGCCCCAAGCAAGCCTCAATCCCAGGACCCTCAGATCATGATCTGAGCCGAAATCAAGACAAGATGCTTAACTGACTGAACCACTCAGGCTTTCTTAAAATAATAGCTTTCTTAAAAGTAGAGGTGTTTAACAGAGACACATTGGCCAAGTAGCTCCACCTCTTGCAGTTTCCATTTCCTTGCCCTGAAATTGAGAAAGGGGGTATTTCTAACCTAGTTTTCCCCCTTGCCCTTCCCCCTCCAACACAGTTCCTGTGTCCTGGGAAGGAAAGGCTGGACCTATGTTGAATGAGGTTAATTAGTAACTCACCTGTTTTGCCAAGAAAAAAAAAGCAGGTGTCCCAGAGGGTGAATAGGGGCTGTGCTTTTACAACCACCCTCACAGTTCTTCACCTGTAAATTCTGGGGCAAGAGTTATATTAAAGATGTTTGAATTCTCACTTCTCCTATTTTTTAATTTTTTTAATTTTTTATTTTTTAAAGATTTTATTCATTTATTTGAGAGAGAGAGAATGAGAGATAGAGAGCACAAGAGGGAAGAGGGTCAGAGGGAGAAGCAGACTCCCCGCCGAGCAGGGAGCCCGATGCGGGACTCGATCCCGGGACCCCAGGACCATGACCTGAGCCGAAGGCAGTCGCTTAACCAACTGAGCCACCCAGGCGCCCTCCTATTTTTTTATAAATGGCTTCACATCTCATTCCAAACCAGGAGGTTTCATTAGACCTCACTGCTCCCTGTGTATCTTGTTGGGCATGCCCTGATATCCTGAACCATGCCCCAAGGCCAGCCAGGCCAGGTCACTGGAACATCCCCAAGGACCAAGAATGTGAGTATAGTTCAGTGTTAAATACACTGACTCTGTGGTCAGACAGCCAGGCTTGGAATCCCAGCTCTACCACTGAAGTTGTAATATTTGGGCAAGTTTCTGGGCCTCAGATTTCTGGGGTCCTGATTTGTAAAATGGAGAAAATGGTAGTACTTGTCTATGACTACAGAGCCACACCTATTAAGAGTAGTCCTGATTTTTATGTTCTTCATCAGTGCCTCTACATTCAGAAGACTCAGGCCACTGAAGCCTGGCTCCTTAGCAAATCCCATTATTTTAAGGGAGGCACTCTGGATGACAATTGCAAGCAAAGAGGGGCAATAATGGTTCTGCAAGGATCCTCAACTCACACCTTGATTCAACAAATATCTATCATTTGTCTACCAAATGTCAGGGCTGGTACAAAGCCCAGGGATGCAGACATGACCATCACACCATCCCTCAAGTACTCCAGTAGATGGGGAAGGCAAACACAGATCCAGTCTACAGTCCATAGGGAAGAGGACTCACAGAGGAAAGAAACTAAGGACTTGTGGGAGCGGTGGAGAAAGGAACAGCTAGCTCTGTATTAGAGAGGACATGGGGCTGTTTTTTACAGGGTTGACAGTGATGTTGGGCAGATAAGTGCAAAAAAAAACAGGGTGAGCAGCTGTAACTGTCTGGGCAGGCATTTTGCCTGGTGACTTGTCTTACCTTCCTCACCAGGGGAAACATGTAGGTGTTAGAAGCAGCCCATCCCATGACAAAGGAGAGAAGATCCAGACTCTATTCCCAGCCAGAGCATGGTGCATAGCAGTTGCTCAGTAAATGGTTGTCCCGGAGATGGATGGATGCTAGGCCTGGAGAGATGTGGGGGCAGGATAATGGTCTGCAGATATTTAACTAGGTGGTTTGTGGAAGAGATTAAAGGCAATTGACTCCAAGAGGTGGAATTAAATTTTAGGGAAGGACGTTGGTTTAAAAGTGCCAAATCCTAACCACTAGACTACCAGAAGAAGTTGATTTAAAGAACAGTTCCCTTTCTTGGATTTGTTCTTACTCGTGCATTTCCCTAAATAATAGCTTTATAAAAATTAGAGACCTCCAATAAAAATTAATTTTTTAGATTTTATTTTATTTATTTGAGAGAGAGAGAGAGAGCACAAGCAGGGGGAGTGGGAGAGGGAGAAGCAGGCTCCCTGCTGAGCAGGGAGCCCGATGTGGGGCTCGATCCCAGGACCCTGGGATCATGACCTGAGGTGAAGGGAGACGCTTAACCAACTGAGCCACCTAGGCACCCCCTCCAATAAAAATTCTTAAGTGCTACCAGGACTCCACTCTCTTGGAGCTGTGAAGGGGATTTAGGGAGGAGACAACATCAAACAATTACACTGTAACTTCATTGCAGTAAAAATGGTTATGAAGTATATGGTGCTATAGGCTCTCATGACAGGGACAGAGGTCCAGTAGTTCTGAGTAGGGGACATTGGAATTGAGATCTTGAGGGTGGTGTTAATTAAGGGAAGGGTGCTGGTTGGGTGGGGGGACGGTCAGGCAGAGACAGGGCTCTAGACAGGGCAACAGCGTGGCCAAAAGCCTGGAGGAGAAAAAAAGGAGGGCTTGTTTAGGGAACAAAGAGAAGATCCCAGGAGAGATGAATAAGGCGAGGTGCCCTTCCAGTGAAGACTGGAGAGGTATGCAGGGATTAGACCATGTAAAGCTTACTTTGCCACAGTTCGGATTTCGAGGGTGAGGAACATGGTTTTTTAGTTCACAGTGTTTCCCCAGTACGTAGTAGTTATTGGTGCTCAAAATTTGGCTTAAGAATTACTTTATCCCCAAAATAATGCGATTCACATTTATGCAGGACAGTGAAATAATTATATTTGTCTCATTTTCTTCATACGCGCATAATGGGGATAATTGTTGTTGTGTAGAACATTCAATACGATAATGCAAATCCAGCGTTCATCAGTGGGAGCGGAGTTTTTGGTGAAATCTTCCTAGAACTCGGGGTAGTTTTTGAATGTTCGTCTAGGGTGTGTTAAGTGTGGGGAGGTTGTATTTGTTGAACGGAAGGTGACGCACCGGCAGTCCGGGTCGAGGTGGAGTTTCTTTCCTGGAATCGGGAAAGAGAAAGAATTGGGAAGGAGAAATACCAATCAGAGGCAGAGCGGGTGCTGCGACCCAGGCGCTCCGTTGCCCAGGTCCTACCCAGCCTCTAGCTTTCGCCCCGCCCCTCCCTGCCCTTGCCCGGCCCGCCCGTCCCTGCCCTTGCCCCGCCCCTCCTACCCTTGCCCCACCCCATTCAACTCTCCCTTCGCCCCGCCCCTCCTTCGGTCCGCCCGCCTTCATTTTGCACTGTGCTCCGCCCACTCGGACCTCCTTTTCCGCCCTGCGCTGCGGCTGCGCGGTCCGTGCCGCCTTCTAAGGCTTAGGGACCAGCTTCCTGGCTCTGGGCTCCTTGCGAATTTTCTCCAGCTCCGCCATGTGGAGCGGACGGCAGGGCCGCCTCAGGCCGGTGGGCTGCGTAGTGGAGGAGCTACGGTGCCGCCGGCGGGAGCGGGAGGCAGGTGCGGGAGGGCAAGGGAGACGGGAAGATGCCGGCGGGGGCACTGTAGCTCCTCCACTACCGAGGAATGGTGTGGTATAGCGGGTGGCATGGCGGTCGGGGATAGGATGAGGAGGCCCCCGGGTGGCAGACGGGATTCAAGGTGCTAGATGCCCTTCCTACGTTCAGCCGGCTCTTTTGCCCCCAGCACTGAGGAAGGCGCGGAGGGAGCAGCAGCTGGTCAGTAAGAGGCTGCTGAGAGACGACGTCCTGGAGGAAGTCGAAGGGGGGTGTGTGGCCAAGATCCTCGGGGAAGCTGAGGTGAGGTGACCGGGTGCTCGGTGAGTTGTTCTACGCCGACTGGCGCCAAATTCCTTTTGAGCTCGGCGCCAAACCTGAACGCGGCCCCTTCAGTACCTCCATCCATCCGGTGGGCCAAGCCAGAAACTGGGAAATCATCCTCGAGAACTCTGTCCCTCATCCCCACATCAGGACATCAAGTCCTAGCCCTTTTTTCACCCCCTAAAGAGCTCTGGTGAGCATCGCGGCTCCCACCATCCTCTTCTCCGTGTACTCACAGTAGCCTTCTAACAGGTCATTTGCATCTTGCTTGCCGCCTTCAAGTTCATTCTCCATACATCAGTCAGATGTCTCTTAAAAATCCAAAATCTGGGGCGCCTGGGTGGCTTGATTAAGGGTCTGATTCTTGGGTTTGGCTCAGGTCATGATCTCCGGGTGGTGAGATCCAGCCCTTCGTTGGGCTTCGTGGTCAGCATGGAGTCTGCTTGAGATTCTCTCCCTCTCCTTCTGTCCCTCTCCTCTGTGTGAGCTCTCTTTCTCTCTAAAATAAATAAATCTTTGGGGCACCTGGGTGACTCAGTCAGTTAGACGTCTGCCTTGGGCTGGGGTCGTGATCCCAGGGTCCTGGGATCGAGTCCCTTATCCGGCCCCCTGCTCAGCCGGCAGCCTGCTTCTCCCTATCCCTCTGCTACTCCCCCTTCTTGTGCTGTTTCTCTCTCTCTCTCAAATAAATAAAATCTTAAAAATATATAAATCTTAAATAAAAATTCAAAATCCTTCCTTCCTAGATGAATGGTCTAACGTTTGCCTAGCTCCAACCTTGCCAGTTTACTCATCTTAACCAAAATTCTCCCTTTTCAGTTTTTGAAGGAATATACTAGGCTCTTTTCTGTCTCAAGGCCTTTACATTTGCTACATGTAAAAGTGGGTCCCTTTTAGTATTCTCTCTTGACAGCCTGTTTGCATACTAATTGCTTGTTTATCGTTTCTCCCAACTAGACTTTAAATGCATGGGAATCTAGACCCTATCTTCTTTGTTGTCATTGAAAAGTCAGATGCCCTATAGTATCTGACATATAGTAGATGGTCATTATTTATTGAATAAGTGAATGACATGATTAGTTTTAGCTGATTTATTCATTCAGCAAGCATTGGGCATCCCCTTTGTTTATAATGTCATGTGTTGTTTACAGAAGCACTCATGCCTACGTTATACCATTGGTTCGTTGGTTCATTGTCTGCTTGCTTTATGCCAAGACACTGTGCTGGGGACTGAGGTACACAAAGATGAGGAGAGTCCCTTTCTGTGTGGTACTCGAAGCAGCCCAGTGAAGAAGACAGGCGTGCTACCACCTCTCATGAAGGAAACATGAGGCACAATAGGAACCTCTAAGTCTGAAAGGAAGCCAGAAAGAACTTACTTCCCAGAGGCAGTAACAGGAACAGAAATCTGAAGGGAGTGGAGGACCTGGGGAGGGTGTCCCAGGCAGAAGGAATAGATTGTGCAAAAGCTTGGAAGCATTGAAAGACAAGTCCTGTTTTGCTGGGTGGTGGTGGAGCATAGGTTGCACGGGGACAATGGCTAGAGGGGTAGGTTGTGGCTGAAAGACTTAAATGTTACCTTTGAAACAACTGTAAGAAGCCAGGAAATACGTTATTCCCATTTTTCAGGTGAAAAACTGAGGTTTAGGTTCCTTGTAAGTGGCAGGGCTGGTATTAAACCCAGTTCTGATTCCCTCTTCTGTCTACTGCAAGACTGATGCTTATTAGCCATATTAGCGGGAATGACAAGTTCTAGGGACGGTGGAACATTAGAGTGCTGACAGGTGAAGTGGGCAGAGTAGGACTCACGCTTGCTTTCTGGCAACTTTGTGTTGCCATCGCTCCTCTCCCTGCCCTGCACTCCAGATCCAACAGTTCCTCCGGTTAGCGCAACGAGGGACAGAGGAAAAGGAGAGAGAGAGGGCTCTGGTCAGCCTTCGTCGAGGCTTGCAGCACCCTGAGACGCAGCAGACCTTCATCTGGTCAGTATGGGTGGTGCGTGGGGCCTGGGCCTCTGAGGGATGGACAGGAGTGTGGAGGCGATGGGCCAGAGGCTGAGCAGGGCTCTGGTACTCACTCATGTAGGCTGGAGGGCAGCATTCGGACCTTGGTCGGGCTTCTGACCAGCAGCCAAGCCCTGTTGCAGCTAGAGGCCGCTCGGTGCCTTCATGAGCTCTCTCATTCTGAGCAGTCTGCGGTGGCTGAGGCCTGCCTGCCAGCCACTTCATACCTTCTCACCTACCTCTCCGGTCACAGCTCAGACTTTATAGTAAGCCCTGCCCCTTCCTACCTTGTTTTTGGCTTGGATTTAAATATTGTGCTTTTGGGTCTAGTTTGAGCTGGCACGTAGGGGTTAGAAGAAAATGTGTTTCCCCTGATGTCCATAGCCGTACATATGCCCATCATCTTCCACTCCCTTTTGCCCAGAGCTCAAGGGCAAGACTGTTCATCCTCTGCACTCCCACCCCCGCCCTAGCCTGAGACAGGCCATGCCCCGTGCTTTTGTTGTCCCACTCTCAGGAGCTCTGTCTGTATACACTGGGTAACCTGATTGTGGAGAGTGAGGCTGTGAGAAGGCAGCTCCTGCCACAGGGCATTGTTCCAGCTTTGGCTGCCTGCATCCAGGTGAGCGTCCATCCACTTTCTCCCTCCTTGGGCAGCCCTCCCCTGTCTTCTCTCTACATGGCCCCCCTGCTTTGTTTAGGCAGCTCCAGCCTCTGCCCTGTGCTAAGGGGTTGAAAGTCACAGGAAATCTTAATGACCCAGCTTCCAGAGTCAGATCTCCACCCTGTCTGCTTCTAGTCCCCCCATCTGACTGTGCTGGAAGCCCTCGGATATGCCTTGTCCCAGCTCCTGCAGGCTAAGGAAGCTCCAGAGATGATCATCCCGTAAGTAAAATTGTGTCTGCAGATGTGGAGGCAAGTGTGACCTACTTGGTGATGTAGCCCCTGGACACCTGATTGAGTTTTGTTTCCAAAACTTGCACATTTTGGCTTGATGTGTCCGGCTGGCAAGAGCTTTGGATTTGGATACTTTCCCACCTGCTGTTAGGGTTTGGGAAGAATGACTGACATCTTGCCTTCTGTGGTTCCAACTCACAACTCTCCTGTTGGCAGCTCTGTCTTGGGCTCCACTCTCCCCCAGCATATCCTGCGACTGTTGCAACCTGGCCCAAAGCTGAACCTTGGGGTCGCTGTGGAGTTTGCTTGGTGCCTGCACTACATCATCTGCAGGTAACATAGACCATTTGCAAAAGTGCCACAGACTTGCCTTGGGGCTCCTTCTAGACATGGGCTTTTGAACTTTGGTTTCTAGAATTGCAGTGAGTTTTCTTCCTTCTTCTCTGCTTGGATCCCAGGAAACCCAGCAATCTAGGCCATTTGCCATCCCAAAGGTGGGGTTGACTGAGTAGTGACTACTTGCTTTTTATTGCCTAGCCAGGTCAACAATGCCCTGCTTATCTACCATGGGGGTCTGTCCACTCTGGGGCTGCTGCTGCTGGATGTGGCTGGGGCTGTCCAGAGAACTGAGGATGCAGGACTGGAGTTGGTAGGTGGAGGACAGGTCAAGATCTGGGCTACCTTTCTTCTTACTTTGCATCTCCTCCAGTACGTAGGTAACCCCTTCCTTCTTATACTGTACTCCCACCTTGTCTTTGCAGCTGGCATGCCCTGTGCTTCGGTGTCTAAGCAACTTGCTAACAGAAGCAGCGGTGGAGGTTGGGGGAGGGCCAAATCAGCTCGAAGATGAGCGTGTTGTGGCGGCCTTATTTATCCTTCTGCAGTTCTTCCTCCAGAAACAGCCCAGCCTACTTCCTGAGGGCCTCTGGCTCCTTAACAACCTCACTGGTATGTACCATAACGTGCCTAGGCCTAGACCTTTAAATTCTGGGTATGCTTCCTCACTGCCTGGGCTGAAGTGGGTAGGATTGGGGCTGGGGTGGGGGGAGGCAGGTTCAGGCCCCAGTTTGAGGGACTTCATCCTCATATTTTCCCTTCCAGCGAATAGTTCTAGTTTCTGTACTTCCTTGCTCTCCATGGATCTGATCGAGCCCCTCTTGCAGTTGCTGCCAGTTTCTAATGTGGTGAGCGTATTGGTAGGTATTGGGGTCACTTAAGTCCAGGATCTGATGGCCAAAGTAAAAACACTGGGAGCAGGCCTTTGCACTCAGAAGTACCCTTACCTGAGGACTGGCAGGTGGTGTGGTATGGATGGCTTCAGGGCCAGACCAGTCTAGGTGTGAATCCCTAACTGTTTTACTAGTTACTAACCTTGGGCAGATCAGCTTATCACCTTGAACTTTATAGTTTCCTCATGTATAATTTGAGAATAGCAGTGCTACCCGAGGGTAGCTGTGGAATTATAAAACATGCGTCAAGTGCTTGGCACAGTGCCTGACCATTTGATCAGCACTCCATATATTTTAGCTCTATCATTAGTCTTCAGTTTTCATCCTTTGTGGGGACTGTGTATACATGTCTCTCTGCAGGTGCTCACGGTTCTGTGCAATGTGGCTGAGAAGGGTCCTGCTTACTGCCAACATCTGTGGCCAGGGCCTTTGCTCCCCTGCTTGATGGGCACGCTAGCGTCCTCTGATACTGAAGTAGTAGGCCAGAGTTTAGAGCTGCTGCAACTGCTGTTCCTCTATCGGCCAGAGGTGAGTTTTGGCCCTGGTACCCCTGTTCGGAGGCCTCTAGTCTCACCATGGCCCCTTCCCTTCCCATCCTATCTATAGTCACTTCTCTGGGCCTGGCAAGCCTGTGTGGACTCCAGGTCAGAAATTCCTGTCTCTTGTTGGGAAGGCACACTTCCAAATAGAGGTGGGCTAACCTGTAAGGCTATGGGAATCAAGTGTTGGGTTACAGGGACCTAGGTGTTGAATCCTTTTTCTTTGCTGCCCTCAGGCTGTGGAGGCGTTTCTGCAGCAATCAGGGCTGCAGGTCCTCGAACAGCATCAGGAGGAGGCACAGCTCCAGGATCGTGTGCGTGCTCTCCAGAAGACAGCTCTTCACAGGTGATCTGGCTTCTTGATGCCACTCATTCAGCTCATCACCTCCCCCCACCCCCTCAACTTCCTTGCCCCTGGATCCCCTTTTGAGGATTTAGAACCATGACATCTCATGTTCTCTGCTCCTATGTTGGGGACAGAATAAAGTTTTATTTTTATATTATACTGCTTTGCCTCAGTGGTTGCACGATGGGGTGGAGGGTAAAATGAGGACAAGAACATCCAGAGATGGCATTTTTCGGCACAAGCTTTATAAAGAATAGAAGAACACTTTTTTCACATTGTACTCAGTCCTAGAGAGCCCAAGCTGTGGGGCTGTTGCTCTTAGCAATCAGTGGAGGCTTCAGGCTTTGCCACTTAGCACATTCTCCACAGCTCTGGTTACCTGATCAGCACTGAAGTTGTTCAAAGAGACATTCTTCTCTTGGCCAAATGCTGAGGAGAGAGAAAGGTGACTAAATATCTAGTATGTGGGGCTACCAAAATATTAATAAAAGGTCTTTGTCTTCAACTTACAGTCTTGTTAGGATGAGAAAAGTAGTATAGAAATATGACCAAGGTGTATCTGGGATACCTAGAATTTATCCAGGGGTTCTCAAACACATCTAGGGAGCCCAGGACCAACTAGAATTCTGGCTGATTCTGGGTGGCCACGATGGGAAGGAAGATGTTTCAGGGAAGTTTTTAGGGGCCTGGTAAGGTATTTATTATTAGCCACTATGAACAGTGCTTTGCATGGGCCTAGCCTTGGCTGGGTGCCAATTCTGTGGCTCCTATATAGTTCTAGTATAATACACTAAAGTAATTTGTGTCCATCTCCTCTAGTCTACTGGCTTTTTCCTCCTCTAAACAATTTTTAATGCATACTGCAGCTATCCACTGTTAGAACCAGTCTACCTTAGGTCTTTTTTTTTTAAGATTTCATTTTATTTATTTATTTGAGAGAGAAAACACAAGAAGGGGTAGGGTCAGAGGGAGAAGCAGACTCCCTGCCGAGCAGGGAGCCCGATGTGGGACTCGATCCTAGGACTCCAGGATCATGACCTGAGCGGAAGGCTGTCGCTTAACCAACTGAGCCACCCAGGTGCCCAGATATGACTTATTTTCTCCCTGCCCTGACATTCCTAGAGGAAGGCTTATGTGTCAAGCAACACGACCATAATTTTCAGATTGTGGTAAACTTAGAGAATATGATAAAAAGCAGCTAAGCGCAATGTTACATAATTTGCCAGGGAATGCCTTATTAAGGAAGTGATACATAATTTCAGACCTGAATAACAACGTGAATTCTAACCAGCTATCCATGAAAATCTGGTAGAAGTGCACCCTAGAAAGGGGGGGACAGGTGTAAAGGCTAAACCCTGTTGTATCCTACTACATAATCTTCGGTATGTTCCATAAAAAAAATTTTTTTAGGTAAGCTCTATGCCCAACATGGGGCTTGAACTCATGACTGGGAGATCAAGAGCTGGATGCTCTACTGATTGAACCAGCCCGTGCCCGTTCCATAAAATTTTTGATTCACCTTTCTAACCTTTACTATGAGAAAAGAAAAGAATCCACCCCCTCATATAATTAATGAAGATTAAATGAGATGTAGGCAAGGAAGTACTCAACGCAGATCTTAGCATTAAGTGCTCAACAGAGTCATCATACGCTTGTATTATTGAGATTCTCAGACTACCCGAAATGGCACTACCCACATGTCATGTGTAAGGACCCACTTCGATGGGAATTGACGAGCATCTCTTCCCCATCTGAACCCTGTTCTGAATTACGAAACCGACAGCTCCTGGTCCCTATGCAGGACAGGGCCTGCCTCCACATTGGTATTACTCGAGACACCAGCATTCTATAGCCCCGCGAATATAAGTTTATCCGAAACAACGTCAACAGCAAGGCCGAAGTCCGAGTTCCAAGTTCCAGTCTCCCTATAGGTTTTTGTGTGACCCTGGATGGCCCTTTCTCTTCTCCTACCCTTGTTTTCCTACTGGGGTCCCAGACCGCCCGCTTCCCCGCTCACCGTAGCGGGCCCAGAGTTTGGGCTGCACATCAGAACACTCGCGGATTAGGATGGGCAGGCCAGGGTTCGCCTTCTTCAGCTCCACATAGTGTTTCTCGATGAATTCCCTATTGGGTAGGAGAAAAAGCCGTGCGTGCTGTCTACGCCCGGGCCTCCCCAAACACCCGGGAGGCAGAGGTCATGACCTGGGCGCCCTGAAGTCTACCGGCCCTACCACCTTGCGCCTCACCTGACGCCTTGGCTGCCGGGCGAGCGCTGGCACAAGTGGACGCGAATCTCACGTAGGCCAAGTTTGGCCCCGATTCCACGACTCGCTGCGGCAGCCGCCATCTCCGCTGGTGCCTAACTCCCCGCCCTAGAACTTCCGGCCAAGGTCTCCAAGCCGACCAATCGCGGCCCCTCCTGTTCCCGCGATAGTTGGAACACGTGAGGGGGCGGGGCAAAGTTTAGCCAATGCCTTAAAAGCATTGCAGAGGGCGCGGTCCCTTTTTTTTTTTCTTTTCTCCGTGAACTGGCAGTACCCGACGGGCTACGGAGCGCAAAGCACTGTGGGCTTGTTCCTGAGGTGCATCGTGGGAAAAATCTTGTCCCGGCTGTGTTGTCTTTGGAGCTTCGGTGCCTGCTGGCGTTGAAACACCGCAGACAAAATGCCAGAGCGAGACAGTAAGGCTCGGGTCATTTGTCCTTCTTTATCTGCAGGATTTGGGACACTTGGGCCCGTTGTTTTTGCTTCAGAGTTTAAGCTCTGTGTGGTGGTGTGATGCTGGAATCTGGCGAAGCCATTTGGTCTCGAATGAAGCCGGGGCAGCTCCGGACTATTGTTTCTAAGCTTTGTCCTGCCCCAAGTGACGCCGCGTGTGTTTTGTCTGTGAACTCCCCCTTACCGCCAGCACTTAATCTTGGGTTGTGCCAGTTTATCTTACTCGCAGTATCTTGGATGTCATTTTCCGGAAGTGTTTGCTGATCCTCCAGCGCGGGTTTAGGGGCCCCCTCTCTGCACCAACAGCTCCTTGTATTTTCTCACTTGGGCACTTATTACTTTGTACGGTCACTGTCGCTGTTTCTGCCTTGTCACTAGAATATGAGCAGTTTGACGTGAAAACGTCAGTATTGTTCGCTAATATAGTCCCAACTTTTGCACATGCACAGGAACTGACACGGAAGAGATTGATTAAATTAATGCCAATTCTTTTTTTTTTTTTTTTTTTTAAAGGTGAGCCTTTCTCCAACCCTTTGGCTCCAGATGGCCACGATGTGGATGATCCTCACTCCTTCCACCAGTGGGTATTTCAGTATAGGACTACGGGCATGAACTGGGGGATGATTAGAGTGGTGTGGGAATGGTGAAGGAATTCTAAATGTCTTGTCAACAAGGATGGTGAAAAAAATTGTACCACTTGCTCCTCTATCTCTAAACTTTAGCTGGATTAGGTCAACTGCATGAGAGTATTAGAGGGGAAGTTCTGGATGGGAGGGTGCTAGTTCTTAATGTTTAATTATACATGATACAGGAATTGATTCTTGTAGAAAATTAAAGTAGAAGTAAGGGTAATGTTCTTTTTTGATAACATCCCCAGTTCCAGTCCCTTTCTTAGAGGTAACCACTGTTCCTTTTTTACATGTGTCTTTTTTTCCTACGTTTTAAAAAATCCATTTATATACATAAATGTATGTCTGAGGAAGATATGTGATTATTTTGTAAGTTGAAGTATTAAAATTAAATGGCATTGTATTGTATATTTATATCATTTTGCCATTTTTTATTTTCCCCACTCATTGTCTTGGAGATTATTTTCATGGTAGTGGCAAGGACTCCCTCTTTTTTTTTTTTTTAAGATCTATTTCAGAGAGAGAAGTTAAGAATGCGTGAGCAGCAGGGAGGGGCAGAGAGAGAGGGGAAGTAGACTCGCCACTGAGAGGAGCCTGGTGCAGGCTTGATGTGCTGCACCTTGATCTCTGGACCTGGAGATCACCACCTGAGCCAAAACCAAGAGTCAGACACTCAACTGACTGAGTCACCCAGGTACCCCAAGGACGTCTTCCTTGATTAGACTTTCATCAGGCTTCTTTGGGGTCCATTTTTGAGTAGGCCTTTTGGGTTCAGTTTTAGCAAAGAATGCTCCTAAGCCATTTTATGGAGAGTCCCCTTAAGTAATCAAGTAGATCAGTCAAACTCCTTTTTCCCCACCCTTGATGGCTAACCAAGTTCCTCTTAGTAATTTTTTTATAAATCCCCAGTTGTCCCAGTTTATTTTCAGAGTTGAGTTTCAGACCTTCTTCCCTTTTGCACTAGTCTTTATTCCTATTACAGTAATCTTGAACAGTGTCTTCCTTGGAACACTTAGCAGGATTCTTTGCTAAAACTGGGCACAGCAGGCCAAGGAAGAGACTCAGTCAGAAGAGGGCTCAAAGGGGCCTGACTAAAGTTAGGTCAAAGAGTGAGTCTTTGTCACTGTATTGACTAAAATTATCTCTTGCACCATCATTGCTGTCTGCCGCACATTTGGGAAACACTGTCACAATCTAGTCTCTAGTTAATGGCCACTTAGGTTGTTTCCAAGTTTTTATTACTTTCAAAGCTGAAATTGAGGGGTGCCTGGGTGGCTCAGTCAGTTAGGCATCTGCCTTTGGCTCAGGTCGTGATCCTAGGGTCCTGGGATCAAGCCCCACGTTGGGCTCTTTGCTCACTGGAGAGCCTGCTTCTCCCTCTCCCTCTGTCTGCTGCTCTTCCTGTTTGTGCACACACGCTCGCTCTCTCTCTCTCTCTGTCAAGAAAATAAAATCTTAAAAAAGATAAGCTGAAATTGAACCGTTTTTACATGCTTTTTATACATTTATGCCAGTAATTAACAAAGCTAAATATAGGTGAGCGGAGTTGCTAGGTCATAGGATATATGCACTTAAATTTTGATACAGCGAAATTGCCTTCACATTGGCTATACTGACTTACATTCCCTTCGGCAGAATATTCACTTTACAGATTCTCACACATACTTGATTTATCAGACTTTATAATAGTCAACACTTTGATGCATTAAAAGTGGCATATTTTTGTTTTAATTTGTATTTTCCCGATTTCTGGTAAAGTTAACCATGTTTTTTACATATTCCTTTTCCAATTCTTACTGGGTACTAATTTTTAAAATCTTTGCCTTCTAGATCAAAACTCACCAATGAAGACTTCAGGAAACTTCTCATGACCCCAAGGGCTGCACCCACCTCTGCACCGCCCTCTAAGTCACGTCACCATGAGTAAGTTCTGGAGTCTTCCAACCTGTCTCCCATCTCTTTCCTACAGAAAATTACTGAACTAGACGTCATAGGAACTGGAAGGCTAGTTCTTTTTTGAAGACTGTGATTCTGATTCTCTCTCGCTGGAGATTGAAGCTCCAGTGAAGACTAGGGCGTGCTAAGATCTCAGAGTATGTTCCACATACCCCTTGTACTACTAGAGTTGCTGCTAATGCTTAAATGGGCAGATTTCAGGGTCCATTCCAACCCTAGGGACTCAATACTGAGGTAGATATTGGGGGATATAGAATTTTAATAGTGCTTCAGGTGGTTGTGGTGCTTTCTAAAGCTTAGAATCACTCAACTACAAATAGAGATCTGGATCTCTGCATGGTCGAAGCTTTTGCTTTGTTCCATATTCTAGGCTTTTCTTCAGTCCTCAAGGCCAGTTGTTGGGGTTTCTGGGGCTGTGGCGGTATTTTGCTATCAGTGAATTTCTTTTTCTTCTAGGATGCCAAGGGAGTACAATGAGGATGAAGACCCAGCTGCACGAAGGAGAAAAAAGAAAAGGTGAAGGAAGGATGGAAGAGTGTTGGATTGTAAGGTGGAGAGTGTTTTTTTGAAAGGAGTAGGGGCCAGTAGTTACGAGGCTGGAGATTGAGGTTTTCCTTTATTATCTTAAGGTTCTCTGCTTTAGTGGAGAGGAGTGACAGGCAGAGTGGCAATTTAGAACTTTGGAGTCAGTGTGCAGTATTTTAATCTCATCTTTACCAGTTCTTAGCTGGATAGTCGTGGGCATATTGACTAACATTTCTAATCCCCAGTATTCTCATGGGTAGAACAGAGAGTGATTTCATAACTTTTATCAGGTTGTCATGAGGATCAACTGTGATAGTGCATGTAAACACCTAGCACCAGTGCCTGGCATACTGTAACCACCCAGTAAATCTTGTCTGCCGTTATCACCATCACCATCATCATTATTATTTATAAAATACTAAAATTTCTGGACCTGGTATTTTGCTGTTCCTCTCCTCTGGGGGAAGACCACCAAGGAATGATTTTCTTTTTCGAAAAAGATTTTATTTATTTTCACGAGAGAGAGAGCAAGAGCGCAAGAGCGTGCTCGAGCGTGAGTTTGGGGGAGGGGCAGAGAGAGAAGCAGACTCCCTACCAAGTGGGGAGCCTAATTCGGGACTCGATTCGAGGATCCTGGAATCATGACCTGAGCTGAAGGCAGACTGAGCTTAACTGACTGAGCCACCCAGGGCCCCAGGAATGATTTTCAGTTGAAATTTAGAAGGTGATAAAAATTTAGATAACTTCCTGTTTGTCCTATAGAAAAGTCTCATACCTGTTAGAGACTCAGTGATACAGAGTTGGGTGGCATTGAAGAATTCTGAAGTGACAGATGGAATGTCCTGAGGTGGCATTGGAAGAATATATCTGTGAGCTGGAAGATGCTATAATTCTGATTTTGAGGACTATCCAGAGGTGGCCAGCAGTTCTATGAGGACATATATGAGCTTTCACCAGACAGTTGGATGAAACAGGCAGGAACAATTCTGCTGAGCTTGGGATAGCAGCTGGTGAGCCTTACACATTTGTTTTTCTCTGGTCACAGTTATTATGCCAAGCTTCGTCAACAAGAAATTGAGAGAGAGAGAGAACTAGCAGAGAAGTACCGTGACCGTGCCAAGGAACGGCGAGATGGTGTCAACAAAGATTATGAGGAAACTGAGCTGATCAGTACCACAGCTAACTACAGGGCTGTGGGCCCCACTGCTGAAGCGTGAGTACCCAGGCAGCCAGGGCACGATTCCCTCAGCCTCCCAGAGTCCTACAGTCACAGTGTGAATTCCTCTTAACACTTTCTCCACTTTGGAGCCCAAGCTGAACTTGGCACTCACAAAGGACTATTCTGATGTGGCTTCTTTCATTGTACAGGGACAAATCAGCTGCAGAGAAGAGAAGACAGTTGATCCAGGAGTCCAAATTCTTGGGTGGTGACATGGAACACACCCATTTGGTGAAAGGCTTGGATTTTGCTCTGCTTCAAAAGGTGAGCCGTGGTGGGTAGGTAGAGAGTAATCCTAGAATGCTGAATCCTCTTGTATGGGCCTTTCAAGGTGAAGGAGGGAGACT